ACCGGTGACCCGGACCTCACCCTGCTGAGACTTGAGGTAATCCGCCCAGAGCCCAAGGCAGCTAGAACCGGGGCTCAGCCCCAACGTTCTGCACCCCAAGACCAGGCCTGGAGGCAAACAGCCTGGGAAGGCAGGCCGGCTCCGGGGGCGGGCAAGCTGAAGGTGCCCGGGGTTACTCTGACAAGGCCTCTGCCTGGCCCTGGGGTACGTGCTGCCAAGGGACCACCTCCTCCACGGCTCCCTCTGCCCGAGAGAACTTCCCCGGGGGGGCAATGAACTGCCGCCTGGCCTTCTGGGTCTGGATCCAGCTCGTGGCCAGAACGAAGGCCCCAAGAGGAGGCTATCTCTAGCGGACTCCCCGCCACAGCCCCTCCGGCCAGGCCTCAAGCTGAAGCTCAGTGTCCGCCCTCCACGACGCACCCTACACCAGACTCAGATTTGTGGGTGTACACACCATCCCTTTATTCAAATGCACCTTCCACATTTGTCTTGTCACATCTCGAGTGAGGACTGGCCGCCGTGCCAGCACCACACGCCCATCCTCCTGGAGCACCTTGAAGCCCCGCACCCCAACCTCGCCAGTGAAGCACCTGCTGGAAAGACGGAAGAGGTGAGAGGGGGACACGAGGGCTGCTCCAGCAGGAGATGAAGACGCTGCCCCTGACAGGGGTCACAAAGCCAGGCCGGGGGAGAACCCACCACAAGGGCCAGGGCCACAGGACCACATGTCTCCCCCGCCGAGAAGCACTTACAGGTGACGGGCTGCAAGGGCAGGCAGCTGTGCCGCTGGCTCTTGCTCCCAGGTGAAGTTCCTCCTGGGGCAGTGACCCCAGGTCATTGTTGCTCTCGGGTCACCCTTCCGGGTCGCACTGGCTTCCATTCAACCTGCCAAAGCAAAGGAGTGTTAACCCTAACACCCTGGCTGAGCTCACAGCCGCCCCTCCCCGACTCCCCCGAAACCATCCACAGCTCCTAGGAGGGTCTCAAGCTAGTCATCGGGGCCAACCCAAGAGGCCCCGCCACGGGCCAGCGTGCCCAGGGCGGGCCTGCGCCTTTCAGATGGGCCAGGCCACTTTGTACTCTTAAGCAGAGCCAGCTACCCACTTGGGATGGAGCTGCTTAGAAATCGGCGCGGGCTCTGAGAAAAAACTCATGGCAGCAACAGACATCAGAGAGAGCTAGTTAGGAGTGCGACTTAAAGAGGTCTGGAAAAGACAGTCAATTGATGAACAAAAAATTCCAAAAGGCGGGGGCATTTGGTGGTCTCCAATCCTGCTCAACTGCCCAGGCCGCTCGCCTGGCTGCAGGCAGGGAAGGGCAAACGGCCGGGGTCTGCCTTTAGTTCTAGCTTAATTTTTTTTTTTTTAAAAAAGGAAAAAGAAAAATCGAAAAGCAAAAAAGTCAAAGGAACATTCCCCGGGTACACGACTTTACTTTCAAATGAGCTCTCAACAAGAGGAGGGATGCGGACGAGCAAAAGGAGTTACCTCGAATTACAGGACTATCTCCACATATGAGCTAGCCCAGGGAGCAGCTTGCGTCTCAGAGGTTTCTGTTGGGCGCACAACACTTCTGTCCTCCGAGGGGCTGCAGCTTCCATAGGCTAGCAGAGAACGCTCAGAACTTGTAAAGCAACAGCAGAGCTAGCTAATGAGCCAGTCAGTCTGTGGTCACCCGGGGACCCTGCCTGTGTCTGCTCTCTGGCCTGCTTCTAGACTAAGGGGTTCAGGGTCAGCGTCGGGCGCCCGCGTGTCCACCGTCCCTGCTAGGCTGCCCGCCCCATCGAGCCTTCTGGCTCCCACGGCCAGAAGCGCTCCAGGGCTGCCCTGCGGTCCAAGAGCCCGCTCCCGTCACCCACCTGCTCGCCTAACTGGGGCCGGTGGTCGTTGGCTGTCACAGGGGCCCAGCCAGCGTCACTGACCCTGCCTTTCTCCTCTAGCTGTGGCAGCCTCAGGCGGGACCGCGGACCTAGTCCTATAAGCTGCCCTCTCTGCTCAGGTCTGCCTGCCTCGAGCCCCTGCAGGGCGCGTGTGGTGCAATCAAAGGGAGATGGTCAGAGCGAGGTTCATTCAGGTGGTCTTTTAATCGGCTTCGTGAAGCCAAAGAAAACTGCGTACAAGAATTCCTTCACCACTTCAGATACAACATTGACGGGATATGCGTTACGTCTTCCGGCAAAAAAGGACAATATAAATACACATTTTCAAGAACCTCTCGGGGATGTCTGCAAGTCTACTGTGGGTCCCACACGACAGGTGGGCGGCCGGGCCAGGGCAGCCCGGGTGCTCTGCTGCCACCCGCACGGTTCTACCACGCTACACTCAGAAACGTGACACCAAGTTGGAAAAAAGCTACAACTTGCTCAGCTTCCGACAAAGAGCAGATTCAGAGTCTGTTCAATCTCAAAGAGAAGTGACTCGGGGCACCCAAATTCATGGGGCCAACCCCACTGAAAAGAAAAAGAAAAAAAGCAACACAACCGAAAACAGAAAACAAAACTCTCACAACCCCTGGTGATTTTCTAAAAAAAGAACTCTTGGCTCACGGTAAAAAGGTAAAAGTAAAACTGGAAGTGCTCTTCAAAACGTTTTTAAGACCCTTAAAAACGGACAGCGCTTCCTTAAAAAGCAAAGTGTAGTAACGAGGCCATCTGGGGGCCAGAAGCAGTCAGGCTGTGTTTGACAAGATCAGAACCAATAAGACTACAAAAGTGGGTACAAGGAGGTGTGATCACTACACATTAACGATTCAGCGGAGCTCCCAAAATCTTTAAATATACGGCCATTGGAAGGACGATCTCGAGCAGGAAGGATTTTTACTCGTTGTGTGTAGCTGAGAACAAGAAGCAGGCACAGTGTAAAGGCGCTGAAGCACGCGACGAGAGGCAGCATTCCACTCCCGGCCCAAACCTGGGGGCTCAGCCCTGGGGGCTCGGGAGCGACCAACCCCCCCCATGGCCGAGGGTGGCGGGCACGGCCCACATGCACGGATGCGGCCTGCTCTGCTCGGTGGGCCCTCGCTCTCCCTTTCCTCCTTGGTCAGCCTGGTTTTGCCTTTACGTTCTGTGGCAGAAGTGGCTGCTGGCCCCGAGACCCAAGAGGACAGTCTCGTCCCTTACGGGGCAAACATAGTGACCGGGTCTGAGCACTGCCCAGAGGGCACTGAGGCTCACTGAGCTCCCACCACAGGCCCTTGGAGCGCCGCTTACCGTAACTGTCGTAGCTGTCTCTGTAGGACCCGCCCGAGCTCCGGTCACCGCAGCTGCCACTCTGACTCCGGCTGCAGGAAGGACACAGGTGAGCGCTGGGGGCCACCTCGGGGGACTCTCACCAGTCCCCGTGCCAGAGTCCCCACAGAGCCTCCCAGGCCCCCCTGCACAGGACCACCGCCCGTACCTGCTGTAGTAGTCTCTGGAGCCTCCATAGCCCCCACTCCTGGACTCGAACCGGCTCCCCCCGTAGCCGCGGTCCCCTCCTCCTACAGACGGGACGGGAAGGAGAAGTGAGTGTCAGCTTCTGCAGCAGTGCCCCCACCTTGTCCCTGCAAGTGGCACTCACCTCTGGAGAACCCACGGCCCCGACCTCGGCCCCCGCGGAAGAAGCCGCGGCCCCCGACAGAGCCACCTCGGTACCCGCGGGATCGGTTATCAGACGATTTGCCAGCCTGGTCGACCCGGATCTGCCGCCCATCCACAGACTGGAGACCAGAAGTGGACACAGTTAGCCTCTGCACCTCCCGCCCTCGGTCTGCAGCCCGGACCCACTGAACCCCAGAGCAGCCGGCTCTCACCTTCCCGTTCATGGCCATCATGGCGTCCTTGGCATCGTCGATGTTCTCGAAGGTGACAAACCCAAAGCCCCTCGATCGCTGGGTCTCCCTGTCCTTCACGACCACCACTGTGCAGGGGAGAGGTCCGCGGTCAGCACCCAGCCCTCCCCGTGAGCAACCCCACTCAGCCACCAGTCTGGCACCAGCCTCACCTTCTGAGATCTGTCCATATTTTGAGAAGACCTGCTCCAGTGACTGCTCGTTGGTGTCAAAACTCAGCCCTCCGACGAAAAGCTTGCCTTCATCTGATGCCATGGCGGCCTGTGACAAGCATCATCAAAAGCCTCAGAGATCCTGCAGGGGCTTTGAGACTCAACGCCCCCCCCCCCACTTTACTTTATACAAATAACGTATGTTTCGGGGGGAAACGCTGGGAAACTATTTTTCTGCCCTTTAACCATCCCAAGCCCACACCCAGGACTTAATTCAAACAAACCCTTAATTCCTTTATCAGTTTGGGTCCCTGGCCGCTTTTCTGTGTTTGGGCCAACTCCGCTCCCCAGACTGGGGGGGGGGGGGGCCGAGAACTGCGGCGAGGAGAGCCAAGGGGGGGGGGGGGGGGGGTCCTTGAAAGCTGGGACCACACTGCGGTTCTGCAGTACTCCTCAGTGCTGCCTGGCTGTGGAGCCCCAAAACTCCAGCCAGGGGACGCCCTAACGGGACGTTTAGGGCTGCACCCTGAAGGCAGGCATCGGCCACCATCGTCACTGGCTGAGTGCACCTTGGTTTCTGCCCATTGCAAACAGCGGGGGGCTAACTCCTAACCCGACCGTCGCGGGGCGGGCGGAGTGGCAACGTGCTTGGTCCACTGCAGGGCGCTGTGCAGGCGGGGCGGGGACTCTGCGCCGGGATATCAAAGCGGGGCGGTGCTTCTACCGACCCTTTACAGGCTGGTAGCCTCCGCTGAAAGGCTCCGAAACACAGGCCAGAAGGCGCCCTGCAGCCACGCAACTGGGACCCAAACTTGGGGCGTGGGGGGTGGCACCGGGGTTGTGTCGCCCTCGCACTACTCCAACGGGAAATCGGGGAGGAGCCCCAGCCTGGCCCCACCCACGCGCGCATGCGCCCCGCGCCACTCCATCCGGGCACTCGGCTCTCCCGCCATTTCGCAGGGCGCAGCTTCGCGCTCGCGGCCGCCATTTTGCGGCGGTGTCCTGCTCGCGAATACCCTGGCCCACGGCGGATGCCCTCCGACCGCGGTTCGGCCCGGTCTCCGCTGCCCCTCGCCGCCAGCGGGGCGGACTACACCCCGGGCCCGCCCCGGCACCGCCCCCGCCCAGGGGCGTGCCGCCGCCGCCCCGCCTCCTCCGGCC